AAGGTTTTTTTGGTAATGTTTGATGGGTTCTCAAAAGCATTCTAGTTACTTATATAGAACCTCCGCGAAACATGTTAAAGGTTGCAGAAGGGCACATCAAAAAATATTAATTTACTATAGGTAGAAGGAGAAGATTCAAGGAAGATACCAGCATGAGCAATATGATTTGTGTGAAATAGTTATGTTGAACTCTTGGGTAAATTATTTGGACTATGATTCAATGCACCCTACAATCTAGATTTAATTATTTTAATTATGATTTGACACAACCTAGAATTTTAAGTCCTTTTTTTTATGTATAGCATAAACAAAAATTTAAAGCTAAGATAGTCTTTTATTTATTTAATTTCTCATCTTTTCCATTTGCTAGAATCACCCTCATGTCATTTTGTTGGTGTAGTGAATGGCGTGCAAGCATGGTAAGGAACGTTGATGGAAGGAGAGAAATAATGTGAGAGAATTCATGTAAGTTGCAGGTTCATTTCATAAGACTTAATCTAATATTAGCTTTTCTCTGAAGTATCCTTATTAGTATTTAGAAAGTAGGGGTAACATAGTTTAACTTTAAGAGGTATTTTAGTAAATTTAAACATTTGATTCATTTGAAAATGTGAAGTTCCTTTTCTAATTCCATCAAAGATAAGGTTGAGACTAAACATGTGATGCAATTGGTACAGATGAAAATCTCATCAAGACGAAGACTAACTATTTGGGGTTCTTTTAAAGAAAATAAAACCATAGAGACTAAACGTACGTTGGCCAAATAATGTCGTTTGTGAAGAATAATTTACGTGATCTTTTACTAGACATCCTGTGATAATTAATTAGAAGGACCCTATACCCAAAACCATCATTTTTGAAAGTGAAAAGAACAAAATGAAGATGAAGCTCAACCAAACTGAAGACTGTGTCAAGTAAACTTAATCTTTTGTGGTGGTGTCTGCTCAGTTCTCAAAACCATTCTGCTCTACTTACATATAACTGCGGGGAACATCAAAGAAATAATAAGGAGAAGGCATTAATTTAGAGTTGGGTGGGGTGAAGATTAAAGGAAGATACCAGTTTGACGAATTTTAATAAAAAGGTGAGGTGGACCTTCACAATTCAAGAATACATGCAAGAAAATGAGTATGCGGAAGTTGGAACACGCTCAAGTGAAAGAAGTGGTATACCATTGACTTGTTAACTTAATTACCTACTCTTGTCCGTCGTGGAAACCCAAGTCAATTAACCAATTATGGAAATCTTGTTTCCTGGAAGCATCCTATTAAAGTTATTGAGAATGCAACAGAGAAGAGAAGACTGACCTTTGATTTTTACTTAGAAGTAGGAGCCCCTTAAATCCAAAACCTCAAAAAGAAAAAAAATTACTAGCATGATTTCTATTTCATTTATCTCATTTTTATAATTTGATTAAGGAATAACTATTCTATCAACCAAACAAGTTGATAAGAATAAGAGCATTAAACTTGCAGAATTCAGATTTCAGTCTTATTTCTGTTGCAGCTGGCTTGTTCTTCATTCCTTACAAACTAAATGCTCGAATCAAACAGGCAAAACACCAAAATGATAGAATAAAACACACATAAATTATAATTTAGCACACAGAAATCAGAATTCAGATTGTAGTCCTATCTGGTTTCATAGCAAGCTGCAGTTAGCTCTTCTTACAATAGAAGATGCAAACCATACAAGCAGACTTTGATTTGTTATTTGTTATTATCATTGGACCAGCAAGACAGAATCAAGAAGTTGAGTCCTCGAAGTGTGAAAAAGCATACAGAAACTTAAAACAATCCCCCAAGGTGATTTCCTCTTATTTTCACAGAAGTAATGCAACATGATTGTGTGAAATGGTTATGTTGAAATTATGGGTGAATGTAATTATTTGGACTATGATTGTGTTATAAAAAGTTACTTATTTGGACAATATTATTGAAAGAACCCTCTAATTCCTATCTTTTTATGTGTTTAGCATAAAAGAAGTTATAAATCTATGACAGTCTAAGCTTAGGAAGATGCCTGTTTGGAAAATTTTAACAGAAAGGTACACTGGGCCAGAGAGTTTGATATCAGAATTCAATAATAAAAATAACTAGGAGTGTGAAACACGCTCAAGTCAGCTTAAAAGAAATGGCAGACCATTGACTTGTTGACTTACCTGCTCTGGTATCTCTCAAGCTAGAAAACACAAGTTAATTAAGACAGATTTGAATTAATCAACTTTGGAAATTTTAGTTTCCTCTCTTGGAAGCAACTATGCAACAGACAACAAGACTTGAACTTTGATTTATGAGCAGGAGCTCCTTAAATCAAAAACCTAAAAGAAAATTCAAATTTATGTTTACCCAAAACCATTATATTCATTTAGAGTGATTATAACAAAATCAAGATTAATTCAGCTGAACAAAAATGAAAACTGTCAGGGAAAAATGGTCCAAATTTTACCTTTTGGTTCTGCTATTTGAGTTTCAGAACCTTTCTGCTTGGATATCTAAATAGCTGCAATGGAACACAAAGACTGAACAATGTCAACAGAGAACATAAAAGAATTAAAAGAATGCATTAATTTATTGTAGGTACACCATATATGACATCTTCTCCAGATTTTGACGTGAAGGCCATTGAGTTGTTAAGATCAATAAGAATGGAATTTATTGTAGGTGGACGATGTACACATGAATAGACAACTTCGTGATCACCACAAGTAAAGAAAGAATCCAATTAATTTATTGTAAGTAGTAGACTGTACACAATGACAACTTGGTGACCACCATAAGTTGGAATTTTCTCCAGATTACTTGTTTCTCCTATAGGTATGTATATTTTCTAAAAGATATTTGATTGTAGAACTTAGTAATGTGCACTGAATTCTTCTAAAGAAAAATAAAGAAAAAACAGTGGGAGCATGACGGGACATAAATACTACCACACTCTGTTTTCTATGTTTCCTGATCCAAATTCTACTTTTACACAATAACTTAATCTAGCCAAAAAGGAAAAATCCTTTTTTGTAAGTTGTAATAATATCTTAAAGTTAACCTTCCATTCAATGAAGCATAAAGGCAAGTTCATTAGCAGTTCAATCATACTGAATGCTTTTGCTTCCTCGAACCCTTATTCCAATTTCGAAAGTTTCGAAAACCAAAGGCTTCCTCTGTATGTTGGTAAAACATTTGATATTTCAGCAATGAGGATTGAGCAACTTTGTATAGTTTTACAGCCAATATCTCTGTACAACAAAAGACACGACCACCAAAACAGACTAAGGCCCCATTTAGTACAGCAGTCTATGAGTAACGGTTAACAGTTTCGTCTAAACTGCTAAGAATATGTATTTGGTAAACTTATTTTATTTCAAAACTGCTAAAAACTAAGTGTTTGCTAAATCTTTTTATTTAGTAGTTTGGAACTAGTGGATAGCAGTTAGAGTTCAAATTGCTAACAAATTGAAATAACTACCTAATGTAACTTTTTGCACCAAACTACTAGTGAATTTAAATTTTTTAATTTTATTAATAAATTTATCCATTTTAATTTTTTAATTTTGGCCACATTTTTTGATTAATACTTATTTAATTAGTTTCAAATTTATTTTTTGTATTTAATAATATGAAGTGATTATTATATTTTATTTTTATATTAATTTATTATATAAAATATTAATTTAATAAACAAAATTTGTTAATTAGATGAAAAAATTAAAAAGTTTTTTAGTTACTAATTATGTAATTGGTTTCAACCTTTTTTTTTTTCTCTTTAATAATATGAAGTGATTATTATATTTTTGTTTTTACA